TTTGAAAAGTAGGTAACCAAATAAAATTTTGAGATTTTTTTTGGAAAAATTTGTTTGGTTTGATTACTCTTGAAAATTTGTTTGTAGAGAATTTTTTTCAAAAATTTTTCTGAAAAACAAACCAAACAAGGCGAGTGATTGTAATACTCTATTAAGTCATTGACTGTAATTTTTATTTTTATTTTTGAGAAAGTGCACAATTTAAATTATGTTAAAAATTTATAAAATTTTAAAGCATAATAACTGAGACCCTCAGTGGGGTGACCCCACCACACCCACTGTTTTCTGATTAGTTGAAAAAAAAAAATTCTTTTTTTTTTTGACTTGCAATCACAGCCCCTCATGTGGAGGTGGAGGTGCTGGGGTTCACCCCTACTGGGAGTCCCTAACAGTGTTGAAATTTTAAATCGTTAAACCGATTTGCATCTATTCGCCAATCTGTTCAATCCACATCCGTTGGATTAGCGAACGAATGCAGATTAATTTTTTTTAGTCCACCAATTTGACAGACGAATGATAGATTAAAAGTTCCGTGACCGCAACCGACTTACGCTCACCCTAAGTGGAGGTATTTTTTCAAATTGTAATAGAGTTGGAATCTTTAAAATTTATTTGGAAGTGATCGAATTTTCACACAAAATGACGAAAATATCCCTTTCTCTTCCTAATTTCTGTCTATTTCTTCATTTCCCTCATCTTGCTCATCTCCCTTCAACCGCAACTCCGGCAACCATCCCAAGCCCCTCTTCCACCCTCCTTAACACTGCCAGCCCATCCTCCACCCTTCGGCCTTTCCTTTTCCGCTACCTACCTCTCTCTTGCCACTTAAGCCCTTTCCCAACCACCCTTCTTCCACCTTACCTACCACAGCCGCATTAATAATTTTATGACTTTTTCATATGTATGAAGTTTTTTAAAGCTTCCATTTAACTTGCCATTTTATTGCAATCTAAAGATGAAAAAAAAAAAAAAAAGAAAGAAAGAAAGAAAAAATCACAACAAATCATTGTTTTTTGTAAATATGGATTGTAATAAAAAAAATATATAAACAACGTGGGCAATCGACATAGAACGAACGCAAGAAGAACATATACATGACACTTATTAGGATATCAAATATTTAAAATTTATTATACAAGCAAGACTCTCTTCTCTCAAACTACCCAAAAAAACAAAGGCTTTAATATATTTTAAAATAAAATAAAATAAAAATATAAGGGAATGATTAACGTCACAATTTGTGTTTGTCAAAAACTTATTTTAGAGACACCGAGTGCGTTAAGCAGCGGGTATCTATTCCGCCTCCGGGTCGGCATTTAGATCCAAACCCGTATCCTCCTCCACTCCATTCGGGCCTTTGACGCCGTCAACTTTCTCAAAATCCGCCGGCACAAACGACGGACTCCAGCTCTTCAATCCATTCGCCGTCAACTCACGGCGGCCATACTCGCCTTTACCCTTCTGAAAATACTTGACTGCCACCTGTATCCGCTGGAGAATCGCATAGAACTCTTCCACGTCATCGTCGCCCTCCGTCACCGTCAGCCATCCGTTATCCTCACGTACCCTTGTTTTCTTTCCGTCCAATTCTCCGTCATCCGTCCGTTTCCTCTTCTCCGTTTCCATCTGGGCAGCGAAACGGCGTCGTGTTTTCGCCGGAGACGAGCCTTGATTTGAGAGTTGAGAAATTGAGAATGAAGAAGTTGTGGAGCTACGGAGATGGAAGTCATAATGATAAAATGTTTTTTTCTCTAATATTTTATGGGAAAGTTGAGTGTCACATTCATCTGGTATTGATGGTGATTTGATCAAATTAGATTTTTATTGATAATTTTTTTAAAAGTATATATATATCATTTATAAAATTATAATTTAATTAATTAATTATTCATATTTAATTAATATAATTTTTTATAAAAATAAAATACTTAACAAATTTTTACATTAAATTATTAAAATAGAACCCGTAATCAACACCGACGAATCTAACAACAGAAGCTTAATCCCATTTTTTACATTTTTGTAAATAACCTTTACTAACACCACATAGCGTAATTGTCAAATATTTTATCACTGACCGTTTATTGTATATATATATTTTTTGGGATCATCCTGTATTTTTAATATTTTTGAGTTAATAATTATCCAGAGTGATGTTATGTTTATGCAGGGTGGATTACGTCAGGGTGGTGGGGAGTAGTGACGTGGAAAAGTTTGGTAACAACGAAAAATCATCAGGATGCGGCTTTTTATATATATATATATATATGTGTGATATTTTGGGAACATAGTAAAAAGTTACGTTTTTGGATAAAATATTTAAAAACGTGGCGGTCAAAAACGCAACAAAATTCCTTTGAGAAGTGTAAAAAACGCAGCCCTAAAATTACAAATTAAGACCTATGAAAAAAAAATTAAAAAATAAATCTCTTACGTTGGGTAAGGGTATTTTGGTCATTTTAATTTGATTTGACACCATAAATAAATATTAAACTAAAAAGCAAAAAGTCAACTTTTTACCAACTTCTTGATTAACTTATCTGAGTTATATTATTTTTTTATATGTGTTTACATATTTTTTAAAAAATTAAAATATTAACTTTTATTTTATTTTTCAAAATAGGCTTTACTAAAAATTTGTGTTTGATGATAAGTTTCTTAGTGAAATTTTTGTTGTCGGTAGACCAAAGAGAAAAAAATAGGAGCAACTTGTTAGGCCCTGTTTAAGAAGAAAACTTTGAATTAAAATAGTTAAAAAAAATAAAATAGGTTAAAATAATTATTAAGATAAAATATTACATTTAAATCATAATTTTTTTTTCTCACAATTATCAAATCAATTAAAAAAATCAATTATCTTTTCAAATATAATTTTTTTAACCAATCTAAAATAATAATAATAATTAAAAAACCATGAAGTTGCCAACTTCTCAAACCAGCTCAAGTGGGCAAGGTGGAAAAGCCATTTTCTCATTAGAAATGCCGTGTGATTTGTTTGGTAAGAGGGAAATAAATGGAAAGAGAAAAGAGTGACACAAAAGAAAAAGAGTTTGATTCGCGTAAAAGGAAAGGATAAGCTTTATAAATAAATAAAAAAGAATAAATTACATTCAACTATCTTAAAAGTTAAAAAAATATAATAAATCTTATAAATTTGATATAATTATATTAAATTCTTTTAAGATTTTGATTCATATAACATTTAGTTTTTATTTTTATCAAAATTTTATTAATTGTATAAATAAAAAAATGATATTGTTATATATTTCCATTGAAATGTATATCTTATCATAGATATATTTGCATCTTCATACTAATAGCATTCACTGTGTTTGATTTGAGTTTTTTAGATTAAGTTTTTTGAAAATTGACTTTTTTGGTTTTTGTGTTTTTTTGTTTTTAGTGAATATTTTTTAAATTTTAAACATTTTTTTTATTTTTTTAGATGCACCTTACTTAGATGTATCTAAAAAGTAAAAAATTTGTGAAAAAATATTTTAAAAAATTAATAAATGCATAAAAATGCAAAAAAATGTACTGAATTCTTATATTTTTTTTTTGTATTTTTGATATTTAGTGAATTTTTAAAAGATTTTTTTTACAATTTTTTTACTTTTTAGGTGTATTTATGTTAGGTGTGTCAAAAAAGTAAAAAAATTACTTAAAATATTAAAAAAATTCAGTAAAAACAAAAAAATACAAAAAATAAGAAAGTAGAATTTTTTGAAAAGTGTTTTGGAAAACTAGAAACCAAGCAAGGTGACTAATTTTAATCTTTAATCATTTTAAAAGTGAGGTCAATTTCATTATGTTAAAACTGTAAAATTTTCTGTGGTGTCGTTTGGGAAGTGGGTTGGCTTTTTGGATTTTTAATTTTTTTGACTATTTTAGCTTGGGCTAAAAAACTTAGTTTGGGAAGGGCTTTTTAACTTTTTGACTTTTTTGATTTTTTTTTTATGAGAGAAGAGTGTAATGATTATGGGTTGGATGTGATGTTTTGTTTGTTGTGACTAAAATAATCCATTTTTATCTTTTGTGACTAAAATAGCCAAAAAAAACCCCTAAACTACCTTTCCAAACGGTGCCATATTTTTTCAAATCTCAACGAAATTCAGTGTCACTTCCCTAAAAAAGTCTATAATATATGAGTTGGCTTTGTTGCTAAAAATTTAACGGCATCCACCACACTAACGAAAAGATCCTAAGAGCTCAATAAATTGGAAAAAGTTACATTAAGAATCCTAAATAAATTATCAAATTATTTATAAAATCTCTCGTATAGGTGTGAAACTCACACAAATTATATGTGTGTAGGTCCTATATCCAAGTAAGGAGTTTGATAAAAAATTTAATAATTTATTTGAAGTTCATAACATTTTTCAATTGAATGAAATTGCTTTTCTAACGGTAAAATTAAATGTGATGAAAATTTTCATAATTTTTTTACTTGAAATTGTCTTAATAAAAATGTATTTAATTGTGACATTTAATTTTTTTTTTTTATCACTGATGATAATTTTTTTAATGTTTTTAAACCGTCATTTAGTGATGGGTCTCATGGGTCGTCTAATATTTTGTGCAATAAAATATTGAATTTTAAAAACCTAAAAACATTGATCCTTAACCTGTTGACACCTACTAAACTAGCGGCCATGCATTTGCAGTTAAATCTGAAGGAGAACGTTATAAATGTCAAATAATTTATTATTTATTTTATTAAATCTCACATATAAGTGTAGAATCTATACAATTTGATAAATTATTTGAGATCTATAACATCAGTCAAATCCAAAATAACAGATAAATTAAAACAAGCACAAAAAAAAGCCGGATAAATGTAACAGTAACACAACACAACGGCTCCGTTTGATAGAAGTGTGAAAAAATGATTATAATTTATAACTTAACAGTTTATAATTTATAACTGTGAACATAAACTGATTTTTAATTTATAAATTAAGCTTCTCCTCCCCCACTCAAAGAATAAATTGATTTTTAACTTACAAAAAAATATAAATTGTATTATTAAATTGAACTAAATATATCAAAATAACTTAAATTAAGATAAAAATTAAAATAAGTTAAAAATAAGTCCTACTAAACAGGTAGAACAGTGCAAGCTCATGGATTTAAATCTAACACAACCGGTCCATCTCAATAATGAATTTTGACCCCATTTTCTAAATTGCGCCTGGTGCGTAGGAAAAAGCTCTTCGAATCGGGTTCTATTCCGAACCAGGCTCCGCATTCAGATCCAAACCCAAATTCTCTTCCACACCTTCCTCTCTCACCTTGCTCTTAGCGCCGTTAACTCCGCCGGCGCACTCACGCTCGATCGACTGCCTCAACCTCGACCTCATCTCCGTTAACTTACGGCCGTCACCGTTACTACCTCTCTCGAAGTATTTGACTGCCACGTGTATCCTCCGGATGATGGCGAAGAACTCCTCGACTTCCTCCTCCTTCACCTCCGTCTGCTCTCCGTTACCGTCCTGTCGTGCTTTCTTCCTTGTCCCCGAAACGGCGTCGTACTGCCCCTGCTTCTTCCTCTTCTCTCCCTCTGCCATTTGCTCCGACACCTGTCCACTTCCCGTCCTACCGTCGGTGACCTGATCAGCGCGCTTAGGCAATGTTTGGATGCCCCAATTGTGACAAGTCTCTACATTTAGAAACCCCATATATGTATATATATAGGCTCTTTGAGAACATAGTGCACTTTTTGACTCTACATTTAGGCTCTACATTTGTAGGCTCCATGGATGATCTAAATAAGTGTATTTTTTTATTTTTTATGAAATATAAATTGGGTATGGGTTGAATTTGAAGTGATATATTAGAGAGGTGATGTGATTTAAATAAGATGATATGACTTAAATAAGATAATTACTTTTTGACTTTTTTAAATCATGCTAAACAAGATTTTAATAGTCAGTTACATATCTATTTTTTTACATATTTTTTAAAACAAAAATCAAAATATATTAAAAAAATAATTTTTAACCAACTACAAATTCATAGGCTTAGTTTAGAAAGTGAGTTGACTTTTTGATTTTTTTTTTTACTATTTTAACTTGAGATTAAAAAATTTGATTTGGAAAAGATTTGACTTTTTTTGATTTTTTTGTAAAAAAAATGTAATAATTATGAATTAGATGTGATATTTTATCTTATTAAATTAAAAATTTATTTTATTTTTCATGACTATTTTAATAAAAAAAAACCTCCACAACCACCTCCCAAACAGGCACATAATGGAGCATCTTTTCTCTTTTAAAAAACAGAGGTGGGGTTTCGTAATTTTTTGTGTCCAAAAGTCACAGTAAAAGTTGGTGCGTTCATTTGACGAATAATTCTTTTTCACTTCACACTCACTTGTAAATTTTGTAAAATTAAATTATTTAGCCTCCGTTTGGGAAGTGGGTTGACTTTTTGGCTTTTTGGCCTTTTTGGCTATTTTAGCCTGGGCTTAAAAGCTTGGTTTGGAAAGGGCTTTTTGGCTTTTTGACTTTTTTGAGTTTTTTTGTGAGAGAAGAATGTAATGATTATGGGTTGGATGTGATGTTTTGTTTGTTATGGCTAAAATAGCCTATTTTGTTTTGATTTTTTATGAAATATAAATTGGGTATGGGTTGAATTTGAAGTGATGTATTAGAGAGGTGATGTGATTTAAATAAGATGATATGACTTAAATAAGATGATTACTTTTTGACTTTTTTAAATCATGCTAAACAAGATTTTAATAATCAATTACATATCTATTTTTTTACATATTTTTTTTAAAAAAATCAAAATATATTAAAATTTTTTTTAACCAACTACAAATTCATAGGCTTGGTTTAGAAAGTGAGTTGACTTTTTGATTTTTTTTTTACTATTTTAACCTGAGATTAAAAAACTTAATTTGGAAAAGATTTGACTTTTTTGATTTTTTTGTAAAAAAAAAAATGTAATAATTATGAATTAAATGTGATATTTTATCTTATTAAATTAAAAATTTATTTTATTTTTTATGACTATTTTAATAAAAAAAAAACCTCCAAAACCACCTCCCAAACAGGCACATAATGGAGCATCTTTTCTCTTTTAAAAAACAGAGGTGGGGTTTTGTAATTTTTTGTGTGTCCAAAAGTCACAGTAAAAGTTGGTGCGTTCATTTGACGAATAATTCTTTTTCACTTCACACTCACTTGTAAATTTTGTAAAATTAAATTATTTACTGGTCCAACTACATGTAGTGTCTTCAACTGGTTTTTATTGGTTGAAACAATATGTTGATTTTTAACATTACAAATGCTAGGTGACTATCAAATAATTTTTTCTCAAGTATTATTTATTTTGTAGAATGCATCAAGTGGTTTATTAATGTAAAAAAACTTATTAATTGATAATCGATAGTCATATAATAATCTAATTTGCCTTTAAAAATTGAAAACTAAATGTACCTTTGAGAATGAAGCTTTTAATTTATTTTTAATCAAATGTCACCTACTAAAAATGCAATTGCCAAATCCAACTATAGTATTGCTATTTTGATATTTTACATCAAACGTTAATTTTTATTTTTATATTATAGAAAAAATATTTGCTATTGTTTTATTCGATCCATATATGATATTATCATTAAACTTAATAAATTACAATTATAATAATAAAAATTAAATACAAAACATAATTAATACGGCAAAAGCTTTAAAGTGATAGATATAAATCCAACAAAATACCTTGAATATAACTCATACGCAAATAAAAATATTCAAACTATTGATCTCATAATTAGTTTGCTGATATTTTCATATGTTATTGGATTTTTTTATTTTGAAAATTTTCATTTTTTTATATGATTTCTCTTACTAATTTTTAAATGTGATAAATTCTATAAATATGTATTATATTTGTTGTATTATTAAACTGAAGAGGTAAGATGCGATATAAATAGATTAAAACAAATTTGGTGAAATACAGTATTTTAAAAAAATATATAAATATAAAATGTTTCCGTACCTTTCAAGGCATGTGAAAACAAATGTGAAGATATTTGGTCTTGTTTGGCAAAAAACTAAAATTTAATTTTTTAGACTAAAATTTATAAAAAGATAAAATAGGTTAAAATAGTCAATAAGATAAAGTGTCACATTAAATTCATAATTATTTCACTTTTTCTCTCACAAAAATCACATTCAACTATAAAAAAATCCTCTCATCTTCTCAAACACAAAAATTTTAGCCTACTAAAATAAACAAAAATTAAAATAACCTACTAAAATAGCTAATTTCCCAAACAAGGCCTTTATTGGTTTGTTTGATGACGATGGTAAGATGACGTTATGAAGGGTGTAACTCGACAGGTTGGGTCGGATTAAGAAGTTGTGTTGAGACCTGTTCAGGTTCCTTTAGATTCGAATTGTAATTTAAGATTATTTGTCCAAACTTGACCTGAGTTAAACTTGAATTATTCGAATGGCATGAATTGCCCAAATATAATATTTAATTAATATGATTAAATAACTAAATTATATTAATATTATGTAATGGCAAATAATTTACAATTTTTTTTAAAGTCCTTGGTATTAAGATTTTATAAGATAAATAACATATAATATTTTTATTGTGGTTGGGGTCTCTCAATATTTTTCAAAAAAATTTTGATATAGAACATTTTTGAATTTCTCTGTATTTTCAATTTTTTATGGTTTGTTCAATCTCTCTAATTTTCTCTGTATTTTGAAATTTTCTCTCAACTGAAGTTTCTCTTATTTACTCCTAAATTTATCTGTGTTTTGATCAAATTTTTTTTCTATATTTTGATCAATTTTGTCTAATTTGCAAGAAATATTGTAGTTAACAAAAAAAAAAAAGATGTGAGAGGAGAGAGAATGAGTGGGATATACGGGTGTGAGTGAGTGATCTTAGGCTATAAAAAAAATATTGTGAATTTTTTACATTAGTAAAAGTTAGAGAGGGATGTTAGACTAAATTTCTAAATAATCGATATATATACTTAATATTTTTATATATTTATATATGTATAATTCCGATTTCAAGAGTTGTAAATATACTATAAATTATTAGTCATGTCATATTAAAATAATTTAATATTATAAAAATAAAATTATATTTTTAGAATTTGAGTTTAGATTTGGTGAACTTATTTTGGAATAGTAATTCGAATTGTTCACCATTTAAAAATTGCTAAATAAAACAATAATGAAAAAAATCAAGATAATTGAAGATTAATAATTATATGTTTAAATCATATTTGCATTACGAAAAATGAATAAGTGTTCGTAAAATTATATTTGTTGTTTAATTTTTTTTAAAATAAATATAATTCAAATATATAACTACTAATATCTAATCATTAGTTTTTGTATGACTATTCTTCTTATCAAATTTTAAAAAGTAAATTATTCAGATTACCAAGATTGACATCTATATGGATCTACCAAATCCAAATGCTGTCTTAAGTTGATCTCTCTCAAATTGGATGACCAACTTGTGAGAATCCAATCCCTAAAAAATATAGGTCTGGCTAATAAGTAGCCCATGGACACTAGTCAACATATAATAAATACAGTTACATACAGTTAATAAGTAGCCCATGAACCCGTAATTTATTATTTATTTCTACAATTTTAATGCTAATCGTAAATATCTACAACACATTTTTTAGAGTCATATTAGGGATCCTAAATGAATTATCAAATATGTTACTAAATCTCTTATATGGTGTTGAACTTATACAAATCTCATGTGTGTGGGTCCCACATCCATATGAATAAGAAAACAGTTAAATTTTTTAATTTTTTAATTAATTCGGTTAAATAAAAAATTCTGATAAATTTTTTTTTATAATTTTTTAAATTACAAAGAATAATTTATATTTTAATCCAATTTGAGAGAGAGAGTGAGTGTATGTGTAATTTACGCCAAGTAAAATGAGAAAGGTTGGTGGTGGTGGGCATAGACGAGACATGAGAATGAATTATTGTCCTTCCATTTCTCGTGCTCACACTGCCACGGACCATGATTCCATCCCTCCACTGGGCTCACACTTTGTGTGGTTCATAATTATTTCAAGTCCTGTTAATTTGTGTTTTTAATATGGGTAATGATTGGTGGTTATAAATTTTGTGGCTTAAATGGCTCGAAAATGTCAAAACGACGTTGTTATGGATGCAAAACAACTTCAAAAATGCCAAAACGATGTCGTTTTAACATTTTCGGGCCATTTGAGCCACAGAATTTGTGGCCACCAAACATTTTCCTTTTAATATACATATTATGCAAATTTTTAAAAATTGTATATTATTTATTGGATTAGATTTTTTTTTCAAATTTAAATATGAATTTTAAGCAAATTTGATAAGTTTATATAGGTTTTACTATGGATTTGTTTTGATGATCCAAATTATTCATTTTATAAGATTTTTTTGTATATAATATCTATAAAAAAATTAATTTAATCTCATAATCATAATATTTTTATTTTATATGTTTGTCTTAAAAAAAAAAAAAAAAATTTTGAGAAGAGAGCCTATGAGGGTAGTCCCATGAGCCCATTATCTTCCTCTAGTTTAAATTTAAACTTCAGAAAAATTAAACCCTTTTTTATTATGATCATCAAAAAACATGAATGTACTGCTTCAATAATATATAATCTCTAACTTTTTAACACGTCTTAAATTCACAAGTT